AGAACTACAATTCCCAGAATTCCATAGCATGGAGCCATGGCAGCTCAAGTGGTATCAAACTGGATTATTTCTGCAGTGCGGATGCAGCCCGTGTCGCTCTGTAACTCCTCCGTTCTAACGCTAAAGCAGAAGAGAGGCTGGAAAATGCAAGATGTGTTGAAAAACGCTGGTTTGCAAGTTTCATTGCTAATAAACGAGGCTTAGCAATGGTCAATTTAACTACCTTAAATCCCTTGGAGGAGGGGAATTGACTATCATTCCCATGATTCCCCCAACCACAATGATGGCAGGGGCATTCTGGGATTGGTCGCTGAAACAGGCAATTTTTCCCAGCATCGGCTCCTTGCGCTAGGTCTTAGGCGTTAGTAGTTAAGAGGCGTTAGAACGCGTTGTTGGATTTGGAACGAGATGAAGCCCAGCCGAGAGAATTGATGTCTAAGAATAATTTCGATTTATTCAAATTTACATACCTAATTCTGCGGGTACTGCGCTGAACTCTTAAAGGAAGAGTAAGAATTCTATATATAATTCTGATCTTTCTCGAAGATCTCAGCGCAGTGGCCGTGTTTTTCCTTCTCTCCCTCCCATCCCCACTTTTATCCTCAGAACAACCCTGCGAGGTAGGTTAGACGGGGAGTGGGTACCTTCACCTTGGAGTCCTAGTAGACCACAAATTGAACATGAGCCAACAGTTGTGATGCGGCAGCTAAAAATGCCAATGCGATTCTAGGCTGCATCAATAGAAGTATAGTATCTAGACCAAGGGAAGTAATAGTGCCACTCTATTCTGCTTTGGTCCGGCCTCACCTGGAATACTGTGTCCAGTTCTGGGCACCACAATTCCAAAAAGATGTGGAGAAACTGGAGCGTGTCCAAAGGAGGGCAACTAAAATGGTGAAGGGTCTGGAAACCATAAAGCCTTATGAGGAGAGACTTAGGGAGCTAAGGATGTTTAGCCTGGAGAAGAGAAGGTTAAGAGGTGATAATGATAGCCCTGTTTGAGTATTTGAAAGGATGTCATATTGAGGATGGAGGAAGCTTGTTTTCTGCCGCTCCAGAGAATAGGACTCAGAACAATGGATGCAAGCTCCAGGAAAAGAGACTCCACCTCAACATTAGGAGGAACTTCCTGACAGTAAGAGCTGTTGAACAGTAGAACACACTCCTTAAGAAAGTGGTGGAGTCTCCTTCTTTGGAGGTCTGCAGGGATGCTTTGATTGTGAGTTCCTGCATGGCAGGGAGTTGGAATGGATGACCTTGTGGTCTCTTCCAACTCTATGGTTCTAACTGTCATGGCTGAATGTTATGGAATTCTGGGAATTGTAGTTTTCTATGTCACAGAGCACTGTTGTCACAACAAACTACAAATCCCATCATTCCATAGGATGGAACCATAGCAGCTAAAGGAGTGTCAGACTGGATTATTTCTGTAGTGCGGATGCAGCCCAGGCTCTGATCTGGGAATTGTAATCCAAAAAAGTAACTTTTCCAAACTCTGGGCTAAGAAGCAGTCAGCCAGCTCTGGATATACATCTGGAATTTAAGAAGACAGTTCTATCCAACCTAGATGTGTAGTGTGTCTGTTATTTGGTGATGTTCCCCGCCTCGATCCATGGGGAAAGGCGGGTAAGAAATAAATAAATTGAATTATTATTATTATTATTATTATTATTATTATTATTATTTCTTCACAGCCTTGAAAATAATAACATCGACGTCTTTTTACACTTGGGGTCCAGTCGAGATGAAGCTCAATAGCAGAGCACCTACTCTGAATGCATAAACGTCTTGGGTTCAAGAACCTTACATCTCCACTAGCTGATGGGGGGAGAAAAGCGGTATGAACCCGCTTTAACGGTATAGTGGTGGTGAGAAACCGCTTTAAAGGTAGTGAGGTCGCCCCTTCCTCTGTGATGCCCATACTTCAGCATCTGTGAGGAGGTCTTCTGTGCCTTTAAAGCGGGGCCCCTGGATCCAAATTGGATGCATCCGCACTACACAGTTCAATCGGGTTCGTATCGTCGCTTTCCTCCCGTCGCCTGCTGTCTGTTTCCATTGAAGGTGGAAAGTGCCAAGGCTTGAACCCTAGACCTTCTGCATTGAAAGTAGGTCGCTTTCTAGGATCTGGTGGGGAAGGAGACTTTTATTTGTCACAGTCCACTTGGACCTTTCATAAGTATATTTATTTCGAAGTAAATTCGGTCCAAAACACACTGCAGACATAATCCAGTTTGAGACCACTTAAACTGC